AAGTTGACATCCCTGAGAAATTGCCTGTGGGAAACCAGGATGTAGGAGGGGGTCCGTCGGGTTGATGGGGACCCAAATTTGGCTTTCTGTGTGGACATTAACTGACCATGTGATCCATTGTAAATATGGTTATAGTGTTAAGACACCCTACCGAGTAAACACAGTAAATAACCACATAATACTTATTGTGATCTACAATCACAGAATGTTCTTCTTTTCTGCATGATTTCAGCCTTAATTTTATTAAAACAAATTTAAAAGTAAAGGAAAACTTATATTGGATTAGGAAATTCAGAGGGGCTTTTGTCAGAATTGTGTGTGTGTGTGCTTTTTAAAGCACCATATATAAAAAAAATTTGAAACATATACAAAATTAGAATCATAATAAAATCCATAGCCGGCGCCACGGCTCAACAGGTTAATCCTCCGCCTTGCGGCACCGGCACACCGGGTTCTAGTCCCGGTCGGGGCACCGGATTCTGTCCTGGTTGCCCCTCTTCCAGGCCAGCTCTCTGCTGTGGCCAGGGAGTGCAGTGGAGGATGGCCCAGGTGCTTGGGCCCTGCACCCCATGGGAGACCAGGATAAGTACCTGGCTCCTGGCTCCTGTCATCGGATCAGCGCGGTGCGCCGGCCGCAGAGCACCGGCCGCGGCGGCCATTGGAGGGTGAACCAACGGCAAAGGAAGACCTTTCTCTCTGTCTCTCTCTCTCACTGTCCACTCTGCCTGTCAAAAAAAAAAAAAAAAAATCCTACACATACCTCACTCAGATTCCATAGTTACCAATTCTTACTCGATCTTATTTGAGTTAAATCCCCTATGGAATCCTTGGAAAACTGTATTATTTAAAGCTAATTCTAACATCATATCATTTTATCACCAGTATTCAATAGTTTTCCTGAAAGAGGATTATCTCTTAAAAATTGAATCGCTTTACAATTACCACAATAAAAACTTCTAGTGATGCCTTTATATCCTAAAACCCAACTGGTGTTGAAATCACAATTGTTTTTATTTTATTTGTTTTAAAGATTTATTTATTTAGCTGAAAGGCAGAGTGACAGAGTGAGGGAAAGACAGAGAAAAAGAGATCTTTCATCTGCTGGTTCATTCCCCGAGTGGCTGCAAAGGCCAGGGCTGGGACAGGCCAAAGCCAGGAGGAAGGAGCTCCATCTGGGCCTTCTGTGTGGGTGGCAGAGCCACAAGCACTTTAGCCATCTTTTGCTGCTTTCCCAGTGGTGTTTGATTAGAAGTGGAACAGCTGAGACTTGAACTGGCAATCATCTATACATGGCATTGTAAACTGGGACTTAACCCGCTTCAGCTTAACCAGCTGTGCTACATGCCAGCCCCTACGATTTTTTTTTTTTTGACAGACAGAGTGGACAGTGAGAGAGAGAGAGAGAGAGAGAGAGAGAGGTCTTCCTTTGCCGTTGGTTCACCCTCCAATGGCCGCCGCTGCCGGCCGGCGCACCGTGCTGATCTGAAGGCAGGAGCTTCTCCTGGTCTCCCATGGGGTGCAGGGTCCAAGCACTTGGGCCATCCTCCACTGCACTCCCAGGCCATAGCAGAGAGCTGGCCTGGAAGAGGGGCAACCGGGACAGAATCCGGTGCCCCGACCAGGACTAGAACCCGGTGTGCCGGCGCCGTTAGGCGGAGGATTAGCCTATTGAGCCATGGCGCCGGCCCCCTACGATTGTTTCTAAATATGAGTATGTATGTGTGACACAAGGAAACATGATTTTAGGAACGTTGAGGACCGTTGCCTAGATCCATTGTTTCATTAGCAGTTGGAAAATAGTGCCACTCTGTCATTTCTTGTTTATCAATCTTGAGCTTGCTTCTAAAATGAGGAACTTTCCCTTGTCAACTATGTAGCTGATGAACAGGAAAAGCAAGATAAAGCTCGATTCTTCCCTTTATTTACAAGTTTGCAAAAAAATAAATTGATCCCCTAATATCCTCCAAAAGTAACCAGTGCAATATTTTTAAATTTCAAGTGTTGGATGGCTTTAAAGCAGATTTTATTCTGTGATTTTTACAGTAATTAATCCTTTGAAGTTCTATATTTGGCCAACAGAAGCTTCTTCGGTTAGATTCTGAGTCATTTTGATACAAGCATGGTTCTTGGTTGTCATTTGTTGTTTTCTCTGAGTGTCAGATGCTCCAGATCACTTCCTCCATCTCTACTTCAAACCTGGACTCATTAGTCCTCCAAAGAGGCCTGAGGTCCTTCAGTGGGAATGGTGTTTAGAGACCACAATGAGGTGTGCTCATTGTTGGTAGGTTCAAAATATATTTTTTCTAGTCCTTTTTAATGGACTTGGCTAAGACACATTTCTTGCTTGTGAAAAACTGAATATATCAGGAATTCATGGTAATATTCCTAATTTAAATTTAGCTTTTCTAGGGCTTTACTTGATGTATTGATTTTTTTTTAGAAAATTTATTTATTTATTTATTTGACAGGCAGAGTGGACAGTGAGAGAGAGAGAGAGATAGAAAGGTCTTCCTTTGCTGTTGGTTCACCCTCCAATGGCCACCGCGGCTGGCGCGCTGCAGCCGGTGCACCGTGCTGATCCAATGGCAGGAGCCAGGTACTTATCCTGGTCTCCCATGGGGTGCAGGGCCCAAGGACTTGGGCCATCCTCCACTGCACTCCCTGGTCACAGCAGAGAGCTGGCCTGGAAGAGGGGCAACCGGGACAGAATCCGGCACCCCGACTGGGACTAGAACCCGGTGTGCTGGCGCCGCAAGGCGGAGGATTAGCCTAGTGAGCCGCGGCGCCGGCCTGATATATTGATTCTTGGTATTGTAACTATTTGCTTTTTTTAAAAAAAGATTTATTTTATTTATTTGAAAGAGTTGTAGAGAGAGGTAGAGCCAGAGAGAGAGAGAGAGAGAGAGGTCTTCCATCTGCTGGCTCACTCCCCAAATGACCACAACAGCCAGACTGAGCTGATTCAAAGCCAGGAGCCAGGAGCTTATTCCAGGTCTCCCATGCAGGTGCAGGGGGCCCAAGGACTTGGGCCATCTTCCACTGCTTTCCCAGGCCATAGAAGAGAGCTGGATGGGAAGTGGAGCAGCCAGGACTTGAACCGGAGCCCATATGGGATGCTGGTGCTGCATTACAGTATATGGAGATAGTCTTCATTCCTTTATATAGTTGCATTATATGCTGCTGTGTGAATGTAGCATCACTTACTGTCAAATCCACTCTAATGGTATTTGGATTGATTTCAGACTTACAGATTCCTAGAAGTGGGATTACTGACTCAACAATAAAAACATTTGCAATTACACTAGATATTGCTAAATTCCGTAGTAGTTTTATCAATTTGTGTTCTTTTGAAGGGTTTTGGTTAAGACCTCAGGAAAAATACAGGGTTTTCTGATTTCTATGAATAGAATACAGAGATACCTTTTAATTTTAAGTTTTAATTTTTTAAAGTTCTCTGATGGTGAGTGTAGGCTTCAGGGGTGAAGCTTTTGGCAACTTCACTGTTTTCCTACATTGCTAACTCCTAGCACCTTCCAGTTCCCTTTTGTGCGTTCTTACTGAGCGTGACTTGTGGGCAAAGCCATGAGCTAAACGCTGGTGAGATACACAAAGGAATCAACGCAATTGCTGCCTGATACACAGCACACGGCCAACTGATAAAACTGGACGTTCTTTTGGACATCATGGGAGAGTGGGCTGCCTTCTGACTTGTGGCCTCTGGTGGGATGGGGCTTGGACTGGCTTCAGGGAAAGGCTTTTTATCAGACATAACCGCTGGAGTAAGGTCCCAGACCTTGGTGAGGGTGTAGGGGTGTCACTGGATCTGAGTGAGTGCCCTGGGAGTTGGAGAGAGCCAGCCAGCGTTGCACAAGGCATGCCTGATTTTCAGCTGCCCGCACTAAGCCTTGCATCTGTCACAGTCGGCTTTTCATTGCTCCGCGTGATTGCTTTCCCCGTGTTTGAAACCCAGAAAGCTTGTTTGCAGCCTGGGAGTCTCAAAGACACACAAGCTCTGAGTTTGACCGCCAGACCACCAAAAGCCTTGAGTTACTGGCCACGGGCTCGATACTTTACAACAGTGACCTCGCCTCCGTGAGACCCAGAGCGCGCTGTGGAGTTTTGAACTTGTGAACAGAGAGCAGAAAAGGAGGCAAGGTCACAGGGTCAGGGTGTGAGTTGTCAAGAGCTTCCCAGGGTTTTTGTTATGGCTGAGAGGTCAGTGCCCGTGTTCCTAGGACAACTGAAGTGTGGATGTGGGAGCCGATGGCCTCTGCTCTCCGGCTTTGAGTTAGTCTTCCCCTCCTCTTTCTGATGTGTCAGTGATTTTCTCTGGACAGAAGAAATCCGTGTTTGTTTGTTTGGGATTTAGGTTAAAATACAAATTTCACATGATAGTTCATGAGATGCTAAAGCAGAAATCAACACCTCAAGCATTATTCTCTCCTGGACAGGTGAGGAAGCTGAAGCCCACAGATCTTACTATCTTTCACCTGCGTTCTCCCTTCTAGCGGGAGACGGAACTCAGACAAAGACTGGGTCTTCATTGCTCCACCTTCACCTGAGCAGGGTCTCCCCGTTCTTCGAGGGAGAGCTGGACTCACTTCTTAGGGGGACGTAGTGATGAACACACAAATCAACACCAGGAAGCCTGCTCCGGCTTGCTTTTTATGAGTTTTGAATATAGCAGAATGGCCACTGGAAATAAATCTCTAGGTCCCAGATCTGACGAGGTCCTTCAGCTCCATTCTCTCTCGGGTTACAAGGACATATTTCCCCTTTATTGCAAATTGAGTAGAAGCAGTTTTACTACATAGCCAGCAGTTCAGTGAGACAGCTTTAAGTTTCAGACCTCTCCAGATTTATCTTGAAGGAACTTGGTCCTGTGCGTACATAACCATTTTCAATGTGTGTCCCAGCTGTTTGGAATGGGTTGTGGACCATTCTCTGGTGGCCTCACTCTGTAAATTTATGCACTCTATTTATTATTTCCTTTTTTTTAGGACCAGATCTTTATGGAAAATGTAGGTGCGGTGAAGCAGCTCTGCAAACTAACCAACAACCTTGAAGAAAGAATAGAAGAGTTAGAGATATGGAACAAAAGGCTGGCCAGGCTGAAGCGCCTCAACAGTTGGAAGTCCTCAGTCAGTGAAGCGAGTTCAAGCAGGTATGGTCAGCGCCACCATGGACGTTTGGAGGGAAGAAGAGAGTGGGTTCTTTCCAGATATCAATTCAAATGTTCTTTTGGTCAAGCAGGAACCACTCCTGTCTGAGAATAAAGTCCCTGCTCCTTGAGAATGTTTTGGAACACAATTGGGTTCTGTGATAATTTCCTTTTTTCTGTTGCTGCTTTAAAAATGAAACAAAGCAAGAGGTATCTGTTGAATAGCAGTTGCTGCAGGAAGTGCTAGATCTTAGCAAAAGACTGGCTTCTCTTTAGCAGCAGTGACCATTTCTAAATTTAGAAAACTGTGTTTGGTCCTCAGGGAAGAAATTTATTGTTGTTGTTGTTGTTTTATTATGCAAAGAGGTAAGTGCACATTTTTTAGGGCCACTTTTGAGAAGAAGAGAAATGTAATGCTTAATGCATTCACTGTGCCTACTCACATCTTTTTTTCACAAAAAGAACTCCCGATTGCCTTGGGTTTTCTTTTTTTCCAAATTATCATCGTAGTACAAAAGAAAGTCACACTACTGTGTTAGTGACAGCCTGGGCCTTTGTCGTATAACTCCTAGAGAGACAAGTGAAGAGTAACCATTTTTTTTCTCTTTCTCTTTCTTTTTAAAGCAAATTTAGCAGAACCGTTAGTGCATCTTCTCGAAGAAAGACCATTTCCAAAAATGCCAATAAGGTAAATAGCCTTACATTTCCAATGAACAGAGATGATGTCTTTTATACTAAAACAAAACAAAACAAAACAAAACAAAACAAAACAAAAAAAACCAAACCTTTCAAGAAAGTGATCAAAGAAGTTTTTCCCACTTATTTATTTATTTATAGTTTGCATCCTGTGCATTTCAGGGAATTACATACCCACCCTTGAATAGGATAGCTACTTTCTTTAAGCACGAAAGTTTAGAGAAATGAGTACCGAGCGTGTCCATTTCAGAATTGTCTTGACAGTTTTTGTTCATATTTCCGCATCGCACTCACTCGGCCCAGGGCCGAGAGATCTGTGCGTGTTCCGTGACCCCACTGAGTCCCATGTCTTTGGCTTCAGTAGCTCCCAAAGGGCCTTCCCTTAATCCTCAAATTCCATTTTTCCCTTTGGAGTTTAGTATTTAATATGCAGATGGTAGGACAGGTTTTCGCTTGCTTGCAAAGGTTAAAATGCGATGGTTTCACAGATAGACAACTTTCATCGGGCAGGGTGACATTTACAGTAAAAAGGGAAGTTGATCGTTTGTTAACCTCTAGGACACCCTCTCCATCACAGAGAGGTCTTAGTGAGGGAGGAGCTGCAACGCCCTTCCTAGCTTGTTCCCTCTGCTCCACAGTGACCCGAAAGTGGACCTCCCCAGGGAAGTTCTTCATGACCTCAGTGGATACTTTGTTAAAGGCAGCCTAATTGGTGTTTGAGTTACTGCCTCATTTACTGTCTGTTTCTCATGCTGTATTGCATGGAACTATTCTAAACAGATTCCGAGATCATTCCATATTCTTCTACTAAAAACTAATGACATTTTATGTGCTGACAATGGGCACAAATACATAGATAAATATATATGTAGACGTGTTCTGGGGACACACTGTCAAATAGAGCTCTCTATGGCACCTGTCTTATTAGGATTGCTGATGATAGTGTCCAGCACATATAGCTCAAGAAACACAAAACACTAAAGACATTGTGTAGCCCGTTTGTAATTATGAGATGGAGGGAATGGTGCCTGTGTCCAGAGAAGCCCTGATAGGTATAATTTTGTTAGCTGCAACCTCTTTAAATCTGCCCTGCACACAGAGATTCTCTTTAATTTGCAAGTATCTGAGAATAGTAACCAGAATGTATGGTCCACAAGGGTAGCCCTTGAGTCTGTCATCTTGATTTGTTCCCGGAGACTGGCTCATAATAGGTACTCAAGAAATATTTGTCAAACAAATAAATGAGAGTCCAATCTGACAATATTTCCTGAAGCCTCACAATCGCAACTGAAAACACTAAGTGGTTCCATGTCTTGGGTGTGTGGGCGAGGTGGGAGTTGACATGTGGACACGGGATCCTGGACTTAAACAAGAGTGGAAGAACATTCTGCACTCAGAGACCTCCTGCAGTCACTGCAGAAGCCCTGTGGGAGGCAAAGCTGAGTCAGAAGCGATCTTTTCTTCCAAGGCTGTACAAGGTAGCTCGGAGGATGGGAAGAACATACAAAGCATGGGTGTACCTGACGGGATAAACGCTGCTGAGGCCCGGAGTGCTGCAGGCGTATCATGGGAGCCTGGCTTCAAAAGCACAGTAGCCTTTGGCCTAGAAAGTGGTGGAGCTGGAGGAGAGGCTGCAGACAGCAGCGTAAACAGAGTTCTGGGAGCTGGCACGGGTTTCACTGAAGGATTAGTGGGAATCGATTAGGGAGGATAGTAAAGATAAGGCTGAAAATAGATAGGATAGGCTCAGACTTCTTGACAAGCCATGAAGCCTTTCTGAATGATAGCCATAATAGCTGTGTTGTGTAGTGGGTTTTGTTTGTTTGTTTGCACAGAGGAAAGGGGGCAGCACAGCACTGTAGTTAAGAGCACAGATTTTGGAATGATTTTTTTTCCTTAAAATTCACATCCTGCCCCTGTGATTTATTGACTGGGTGAGAACACAGCTTTCCTGTGCCTCCCTTTTCCTGCCTCTAAAATGCAGATGATAACATGACCTGCTCATGGGCTGTTGAGGATTATTGTGAAGACTGAATATGACAGTACATGTAAAGCACTCAGAATATGCAGCACACTGGTTCTAGTCCCGGTTGCCCTTCTTCCAGGCCAGCTCTCTGCTGTGGCCCGGGAGGGCAGTGGAGGATGGCCCAAGTGCTTGGGTCCCTGCACCTGCGTGGGAGACCAGGAAGAAGCTCCTGGCTCCTGGCTTCAGATTGGCACAGCTCTGGCCGTAGCGGAGTGAACCAGCGGAAGGAAGACCTTTCTCTCTGTCTCTCTCTCTTTCACTGTCTATAACTCTACCTGTCAAAAAAAAAAAAAAAAAAAGAATATGCGGCACACAGTAAGTGCTGAATATGTTCTCTCTGTTACCAGTACTTTTAGACCTACTATTCTAGTTGTTCCCATATTTTTATATTTGTCAGAAACATCCTCAGAGCTCGGTAAAGTATACATAATGAGAATGATTTACTCCCGCTGTGTGGTCTTGGTAGGAGGCCTCTGCTTCCATGAAGTTGACTGTCCCTGCCACCCACTCACTAGGTGTCCCCTGTTCTTTGGGCCTCATTGGGTCATTGCAGTACATGTGTGTTGGGGGTGGGGTATTAATGAGCAAAGAAATTGCTGTGTTAGCAAGTTGATAGGCCTTCGCAGATGAGAAGCCAGTTCCTAATGCTGGCTGAGATGGTATGCATTCTGGGGGAGAACTGGAGAGTCTGGCCCTAGGGCTCATTGAATCTACAGAGTTCTTCTTTCTTCCTTTCTTCCTTTTCCTACCTCTAAGAAGTAGGTGGGTGATTCTTGCTATGTGTAGAGTTCAGAGTGAGGTGGGAAGGACTTCAGAGTGGAGGCGAAGGGGGAGAGGAGAGAAATGAACAGGGATAAATACTTGTCATTATCTCAACTGTTACAGGTTGCCAGCCCCCATCCCATCTACCAGAATTTTCCAGGGCATTTAGATTTTTTACAGTCTTACTTGTAGTTCTTATGTGCACTTAAATCTAAGAACCATTAAAGTGTTAATTGCATCTACCCAATAACTGAAAAATAGGCATTTTTTAATTCTTATTAATAATGAGGTTCAATGATGTCTAGATGACTTAGTCTGGCTTCAGGTCTTAGGCCATTGACTTCTTAGTTTTCAGAAACTGCACTTAAATGATGCAGTTACAGTAGCTCTCAGGGTTTGTGTACTTGTTAAAAAGAGTGTTTAATACCTCCCTCTTTTACATTGAAGAATATTTTCCTTAACCAGCTAGGATCAAGAAATTCAACCAGTTGCAAGCTATTTCTTATTTACCACTTCCCAGCAATACCATTCCAACCAACAGCATGTTGGATCTATGTTCTGTATCCCCAGAAGGAAGCAAACATACTTCCCAGTGCATTAGCAGAAAACTCATCTCTAAGAAGCACCTTATTTAAGGGGGCAGAGAACCACTCCTATCTCTTCAGTCCAGTTCTCCATCATTTTGGAGGTGTTTCTCCTGTAGCTCTTGGCCTATTCCCTAAGCACAAACTTTTTATGCTAATATATCTAAGTCCAGAAAGTCTGTCCCATTCACTTCCCAAAAACTGTAATTCACTAATTTTTATATCTTCTAAAGCATTGTATATAGTAGTGCTCACTAAATATCTGATTGAATGGATATAAGAATAATGGATATAAGAAACAGACCCAGAGCGGCCCTTTTAAATAGGTGGAAGAATTGGATACTGATGTGTATAGGGGGACTTCACAAATTTCATGGAAAATTCACATTTAAAATGTTTCAAAAATTCATTTATCTGAGGGACACAGAGAGAGAGACAGAAAGAAAGAGGAAGAGAGCTCCCATCTGCTGGTTCACTCCCCAGAATCCTGCAGTGGCTGAGGCTAGGCTGAGCTGACGCTGGGAATTGAATCCAGGTCTCTCATGCAGGTGGCAGGAACCCAGCCTCTTGTGCTATCACTGTTGCGTCCCAGGATCTGTGTGAGCAGGAAGCCGGAGTCAGGAGCTGGAGCTGGGGATCGAACCAGGTGCTCTGATATGGGATGCAGCCAGGTTGAACACCTGCTCCACTCATTATCTTTTAATACCATCTCCCATGAGCTTTATGAAGCCCCTTCTCTTATTTAATTACTTAGTAAGATTTCACGCTATGAAAATCTTTTCTAGATTCATCATGGTTCCTAAAGTTCTTCTGTTAGATGTGTTCTTTCACATCTGGACAACTTTTTGATTTCCTTAAGTCTTCTATTAAGAGATGGATTTCTGGGCTCTGACAAAATCAACAACTGCAAAATAAGTACCAAGTGCATGGCACAGACAATTGCCCTGCAGGGTGTCAGGGAAAAGGAGACTGCTGCACCTGGAGTATCAAGGAAAGGGAAGGCCTTGAGGCAGGCTTTGGAGGAGCACTGTGTGCAGAGAGGCAGAGAGGAAGAGGGGGATGTAAATCCGGGCACTGGCACCCTCCACGGGAGCGGCAGAGATCCCTGCAGGCGGCGCATTCAATACTGAACCTCTTTATAGGTTTATTTTTCAGGAAAAAGCCAGTCGTGTCCTCACTGGGTTTTCCAGACTTTGGTTATCAGTCTGACAGCGGTAATGGCCTTTTGGTAAGAAAAACTTCAAAGTTCTGCTGTATCGTCAACCTCCTTTCTTCTCATCTCTCTTTCCGTACTTAGGGACTGGGGACCCACCTTTTATTTACTTTGATGGCAAGAAGCCCTTTAAACCAGGCCGATAGCTTGGAAATGAGGGCGTCCTTCTAAACCTCGCACTTAAGAGAAAAGCACAGACTTTCTGTACTCGAGTGGGAGTTAAAGGATGATTTTTTTTTTCAGTGAACTTCCATGTCTTAGCAGCAACCTGTGCCTTCCTTGTGTGTGTGCATGCGTGCACGTGGTGGTGGTGTGGTGGTGTGGTGGTGGTGGTGGTGGTGTGTGTGTGTGTGTGTGTGTGTGTGTTTCATCACTTTGCAAATAACTTTCTCAAATTTTCCTTCCTGCTGGCTTGTGGGAAAAGAAGTGAGAATGAAATCAGGTACAACCCACTCTCCCTGGTCACTACTGGGATTCTTCAGTGGATGTATACCAAAGGGACATCAAGATGGACACTATGATGAAATTGTAGCCAGATTCACTATAGACAGTTAAACGAGGTAAACACAGTAATCGCAACAGTATCTGCCTGGGCCCCTGAGGCCCCCCTGTGTCCTCTGCACAGAGCAGGGGTCAGCCCTTGCTGGAATGCAGCCTTCAGGCTCTTGCCACTGCTACGGTGGACCCCAGCCTTTGAGCCCCGGGTCAGGTCCTCTTGCCTGGGTTCTCTGGGCCTTTGAATTCTCCTTCCTTGCTTTTTTGTCTAACTATTCATGTGATGGAAGGGGTTTTGATCTGTCCCACAAAAGCTGCTTTGTGAGCCCTGGGTAGGACAGGCTCTGGACAAGTCTTGGGGGAGACCTTCACTCTCAAAGGCAAGGGAGTTCCCAGTGCCTCAAGAGCTTCCCAGCGGTAGAAGGCAGACTGTGCCCTCTCTGCCAGTGGCATTTTCTCTCATGCCCTGCTGGTGCTCCCGGGAAGATACCCTGATATCTCTCAGCATTGGAAGCTTTTCACTCTTCTCACACCCCTAAGTGTGCCTGTCTTCTCTGGCTGGGGTTTTCATATCAGGAGAGTCTGAGCATCTGCCTGGAGCAGACATACTTAGCATTCTCCAGAACCACAGATTCCCAGCCCAGTGGAAAGTTTCTAGAAGCCTAACTTTGAGACAGAGATTGCTTCCTAAACATGCTTATCAGATCTTGCAGATTCCAATCTTGGTGTCCATTAAGGCCACAAACAGGAGGTCCGAAGCTTAGTATCTTGTTGCTGGCCTGGGATGTACCTGAGGGAGAACAAAACCAGGGTTTGCCCTCAAAGAGGGGAGTAGGTGTCCGTTTCGTTCTGTAGTCCTGCAAGTTCTCTGGGCAGTGCATTGAGGCAGATGGCAGAGACAAATCCCACAGAGAATTTAAGAAGTAGTCGTGTAGAGATGGGGAGTAGGGGCGGCTGGACCACAGCAAACAGTCGCCAGGGCAACACAGCCCATTCTGTCAGATGGCATCTGTGAGACCCAGCATCACTTACCAGGCAGGGCCGAGCCTGCTGGGCAGTCACCAGCTGCTGCTGAGAACACATGAGGAATTGCTTCTCACATTTCTTTGTCCAAAAGTGGAAAGATCTCCAAAAAAGTCGTGGAAAATGCATATTATGAAAATATTATGCCTGGATTTCAGTGTGGGTTTTTTTGACACCAAAAACAAACTTATCCTTTAATTCCATTTTCCACCAATATTTTGAAGTTCCCTGGGACATTTCATCATGGTCAATCCACTGCCTTTGACGGAGATAAAATAAGGAGTCACATTTGGAGACCCAGGTGTGAAATCAAGCCGGCAAAGTGTCTAGCCTGGCTTCAAGCCCAGCACCCAGCAGACTTCCTTCTGTGGCTCCCCTGAGAGAGTTCCCAAGACACCCTGAAAGAGGAGAACATGGAGCTGTTGGGAACAGCTTCGCAGAGCCGAGAACCTTCAGGGAAGCTCCAGTTGGACATCTAAGCGCTGATCACAGGGGCTGGGAGAGGGTGCAGGGAGACACTTTCACTATCTTGAAGTTGCCTAGTGTGGAAATGGAAGCTTTATGGCCTTGCTTTTCCTTCTCTGCCCAGTTTTGAGTGTCGTGCTCTAAAAAGACAGGCAGCTGAGAGACTGTGAGAGAAGCAGCCCAAGGGTTTGCCGTCCACAGCTGACCAGACACATGCGCAGGCTCTGGTCCCCTAGGGCCACCAGGTGCAGGCGACTCCCCTCTACAGGCTGTGAGCTCTGCCCTGCCTCTCTCCCGCATGGAGCTGAGGACTGCCTCCAGCTGTATCCACGCATCCTTTGTAATCTTCCATTGGTGCCAGACGCTTCTGAGACAGCTGGCCCGGGCTGCCGGTGCCCTTAGGAAACAAGTCCACCAGTGTGCAGCACCCCAGCAGCCTCAGGCTCCAGAAAGCCGAGGGCTTTTCCTCGCCAGGGCAGAAAAGCCCGAGTGTGCTAGTTGCCCTGGTGTTTCTGTTGGCTGTGGCCACCCCTCCCCCTTGCCCCATCTGTGTGGCCTGAGAGCATCCGTGTTGGGCCAGCTGGATGTGGGAGATAGATCTGGAACTAATCTGTCATATAATGCTTTTTCTTTTTCTTTCTTTCTTTTTTTTTTTGACAGTGCCTTGACAATAGTCTCCCTTTACATACTTAGCTTAAAAGATCAAGACCGACATGCCTCCAGTCTCCCTACGAGGTGAGAGTTCAGGTCTTGTATTCCTTTGGGGAGAAGGATTCTCGAGGGCCTCTTTGACGAGTCGTGTTGTTCTCCTCTAGCAACATCACAAGCTCTCAGGAGCCCGCGCTGCCAACCACCGGCTCCCCTGCAGGTAAGGCCTTCCCACTCCTCACCCTCTGTGTCTCTGAACTGTCAACACATGCAGCACCGTCAACAGAAGAAACCAGCCTTTCAGGTTAACCTTCTTGCCTCTCTCCTCTCTGCCCAATGCCTCGCAGCACCTCATACAACCCTGGCAGCCACCCAGCCCAACTTGGAAGTCCCTGAGATCACTTTCTGCACGATCCTGCCATGTCAGGAGACCAGCTGCTGCCCTGTCTGGGGAACACGAAGAGTCTCTCCAAGTGCTTTACAAGCCCAGTCCAAGGAGGAGACGGAAAACCATCAGAGGCGTTGGGGAGGTAACTGGTGACCAGAGGCAAACCCCAGGGCTTTGCACTTGGGACTTCTCCCTTGTCAGTATTTACTTAGATTGTCTGTTAATAGTTCCATGGTTCTATCTGAGGTGGTGAGATCTTTAACCACACAAATACACAAATAGTCAGTCATCTGGGGAGAAAATTTTGGTTGATTCAAGTTTTTGTGATTTCCAAGAGAAAGGGTTCCCTTTGTCCTTTGCCAAAGAAGATAGTAATAGCAGCACAGTGAAATAATTACGTGCATGTGGGTTGATATTTTTGGCTCTGGTGATGTGGCATCTGGGTTCTCCACCCAAACTAATGAGGGTAAAATAGAAAAGACTCGGAAGCTCTACTTTAGAATACAGATACATAGTAAGCTTTGAGCAGTGAAAAAGACAAGGTTGGCATGTCACATCCAGGAACTTTCTCTTCCTCTTCCTCCTAGGGACACACACACACACACACACACGTGTGCGAGTGCACCCACATATACACACGCATAGTTTTTTTCCAGTAACAGAATTGTCATGTTAAAAAATTATAGAAACTTGATCAAGGGCTACAAGTGAAACTATCTCTGTCAGATCAAATAGAATTCTTCCACATGCGTACTAATTTGTTGATGTTTCAAAATCATCTACACACATATATTAATGCATGTATTAGAGATGATGTTAGTAATTACAGTGCATATTAGTGTGGCTTCTCTGTTAGGGTGCTGTCCCAACAAGTCCCAAATAACAGCGGTTTTATGTGGCAAAAATTTGTTTCTGAATTACTGTGTTTATCAAATGTTAACCAAAATCAAAATCATATCATTGTCATTCAGGGCTCAGTTGGTGGGGGCTCCATCTCAATACATATTTCCATAATCTCTACAGTAGTGATAAGAGAACAAGACACACTGTGTGCTAGCTCTGAAAATGTCCACCTAGGTATAATGTATGTCATTTCTGCTTACACTTCATTGGCCAAAGCAAGTCACATTAGTCATGTCTAATTTAAAAACAGATGGCAAAGGGCAGACTTAATGTGTGCTTGGAAGAAAATAAGTGAAGTGTTTGTAAGCAGTATCAATGGCTGACACATAGAGTATAGTCAGTGGGTGAAGTTTTGAGGGCAGCAATGTGATTTCATTTTCCTTTTGATATTATTCCTGGTCTTGGGTATGCAACTTTCTTTTTCAAAGATTTTTCTTTCTTTCTTTTCTTTTCTTTTTCTTTTTTTTTTTTTTTTGACAGGCAGAGTGGACAGTGAGAGAGAGAGACAGAGAAAAAGGTCTTCCTTTTCCATTGGTTCACCCCTAAATGGCCGCTGCAGCCGGCGCACCGTGCTGATCCGATGGCAGGAGCCAGGTGCTTCTCCTGGTCTCCCATGCGGGTGCAGGGCCCAAGGACCTGGGCCATCCTCCACTTCACTCCCAGGCCATAGCAGAGAGCTGGCCTGGAAGAGGGGCAACTGGGACAGAATCCGGTGCCCTGACCGGGACTAGAACCTGGTGTGCCGGTGCCACAGGTGGAGATTAACCTCTTGAGCCATGGCGCTGGCCGTTTTTTCAAAGATTTTTATTTTATTTATTTAAAAGTCAGAATTACACAGAGAGAGGAGAGGCAGAGAGAGAGAGAAAGGTCTTCTATCCACTGGTTCACTCCCCAGATGGCCACAACGGCCAGAGCTGCGCCAATCTGAAGCCAGGAGCCAGGAGCTTCCTCTGGGTATCCCACGGGGGTGCAGGGGCTCAAGGACTTGGGCCATCTTCCACTGCTTTTCCATGCAATAGAAGAGAGCTGGATTGGAAGAGGAGCAGCTGGGACTTGAACCAGTGCCAATATGGGATGCCAGCACTCAGGCCAGGGCTTTAACCCACTGCGCCACAGCGCCAGCTCCGGGTATATAACTTTTGCAAATCATCATCATCATCACCATCATCATCGTGTACTGAGATATTCCTGTATGCCAGATACTGTCAAATAGTATACACGAATAAGTTACTTAATCCTCACAAGCCTACAGGACAGGTACTGCTATTATCTCAAAAAAAAAATTTTTTTTTTATCAATGAATATCCTTAGACCCAAGATTTTTTCCCCACATCTATAAGAGGCAGAATTTGGCCTGTTTTTTTTTTTCATAAAAATGATTTTTGGTTGAATTTGGGGATAAATATGTTACTACAGAGTGAGGAGAAAGCTCATTCTGAAGAAAGGAATTGGTTTGAATCATAGTCTCAGTATTTTTAGTCATGAAAAAATTCAGTACTACACAAAAGTCCCCAAAACCTTCATCTCTTGGGAAAGCACGTGGAGAAACCGTGGCTGGTAAACCCCTTCCTTACCTTTGGAGTTCACCCTGGGGACACATGGGGCCCTTTTTGAGGGCAGTCCTCAGAAGGGATCACCCCACACTGATGACAATGGGTCCTGAACGGGAAGAAGCCGTGGACTGCGCCACTCTTCACTTTGAAGGATGTCTTGGCCCCTGAACAAATTCAGTCATGCAGCAGCCAGCTCTTCACATCAAAGGGATTTTGGGGGAAACAGCCTTTATCAAAGCAGATGAGGGCTGCCACGCTCTTCCTGGGACAAGGAATGTGTGCTTCTCTTATGACTTCAGACCTGTGTGAACTCCTAAAGAAAGATCTGTTCCCAGGTGCCTGGCTGTGTCCCCCTAGACAGAACCAGCCTCTTCTCTACCTAAGAATGAAATTTAAAGCTCCATGATACAGTGGAAAAGTGTTCCTCCTTTCAACTGGGGAAAAATATAAAGAATTTAGATGATTTTGCCTCTCTCTCACCTTCAAGAAGCCTGAAAACTCATGGGGAGTTAGAGTCCCTGACTGTCAGAAAGCAGCTAAACCAGGGCTACCCTCATGTTTTGATCCTGAGAATCCATTATTAATATACTTTGATAGTGATTTGATTGGGAAATACATAAAGCGAAGGTATAACTAGATTCAGTTGGGCTTTTCATTGAACTATTTTTACGAAAACAGTCTTGACATTTGAAAAATAGTATTCAGCTGTGAGGAAGATGTTGTTTTCCAAATCTGCAAACAATGCCCCAGACCCCAGGGTCCGCAGTAACCAGGGATTCCAGAAGCTCAAGGTCAGGAGAACTTCTGATTCCTACCAGCTTTCCCAGTTTACAGCTGATGAGATGGAGGCATGGGACCTTGCTTAAGATTCCTCCGCTGAATTACCTGCAAAGTTGAAATTGTAATCTAGGTACCAGGTTTCCCTGTTCTGGGTTCTTTCTACCATCCTTCCTCCATGTACTTGGACACAGGATACGCTTGCACCTGACTGATGTCAAGTCTAGAGGATATGGGAAGTATCCACTCCCTGGATTTTGGAAGGTCCTGTACCTCCCCCACCAGCAGGGTTTCCTGTAGCCATTACGATGTCCCCAGTGTGGGCTGTTGCTGAGGGTCTGAGCAAAACCTCTTCCATTCTGCAGCTGGTCCATCCTTCATTTTGCCCAGAGCACTGTGTCATACTGGGACTCCTAAATTTACAAAAGAGGAGAAAGCCAGGCAACTCTGACTTTGAACCTGATGTTTCTGCAGCATTAAAGACCAATTAAAAATTAGGGAATAGGGGCCGGCACTGTGGTGTAGTGGATTAAAGCCCCAGCCTGCAGTGCCTGCATCCCATACGGGCTCTGGTTCAAGTTCATATCTGATCCAGCTCTCTGCTATGGCCTGGGAAAGCAATAGAAGATGACCCAAGTCCTTGGGCCCCTACACCCGCATGGGAGACCCAGAGGAAGCTCCTGGCTCCTGGTTTCGGATAAACTTAGCTCTGGCCATTGCAGTCTTCTGGGGAGTGAATCAGCGGATGGAAGACCTCTCTCTCTCTCTGGCTCTACCTCCTCTCTCTGTAACTGTCTTTCAAATAAATATAATAAATCTTTTTTAAAAATTAGGGAATAAAAATGAAAAAGAAATGCAAGGGTGAAAAAAACTTAGGAAAATTCTCAGTGGGCTGCAGAATAATATCTAATAGTTTAATAATTCCCAACATGCATCATTGAGCTTCCTCCCTGAGGAGTAAGACTACAACAAAACAAGTGAATGAAAATTAGCATTTCTCTGACATGCTGAGCTCAAGGTGGTTGTGTCAGCCTTTACGAAGTGTCTTTCAGAAAAGTTATGCCCTTCTCCCATTCACTTAATAAAAGTCTGGGCAAGACTAATTAGGAAGTGGAAAGTGAGAATTTTGGAATATTGAGCTTCTACTCTGAGGAGTCCCCTGAATGTGATGAATTGGATTGTGGTCCGTGGGACCAATAAGGATTTAAGTAGACAGGAAAGTTAGATCTTAAAAGCAGAGAGCCCAGAAGGGGAAACTTCTGTGAAATTCTGTGGATTATAAAAGAATTGGTTAGGTTTTTTAAAGATATCACAAAGCAAAGGGCATCAGGAACTCATGCTCACCCTGTTTTGGAGACCAGAACTCAGAGCAGAGCGAAAGAAAGTGGTCCCCTGAGTTAAAAGATTCAGCCATTGACTAGTGGACCTCATCGACTGCTTCTTGACATGAATCTCGTTCAATCAGTATAAAAGAAAGATATCCAAGGTGCTGTCCTGGAACTCGGCCATCCACACAGCTTTATACGTAATGCAATATACACCTTCTACCACACCAGATATACTTTGGTGAGACGCCTGCTTACCTCTCTCCTCCAGAAGTTCCTAACTTAGTTTATTGAGAGGTCTCATCCGCCAACTGTGAAATGCATCTCCAGTTTTACAACAGAAGCCGCCAGGAATGTACACAAAGCTGGTAGTGAACACTGCTGAAGGCCATTTGTAAGATGAGAACTAGCCTTGTGTGACTAAAGCAGCATTTATGGTTTTCAAACATAAATCAAGACTGAGCTGAAAAGTCTTACTTCAGACACATGACAAATTGGCAGTGTTTTGTAAGATTTCAGTTTTATTTTCTGCTTTTGAAAAAACATTTTCATGAATCCAATATGCAACATTATCTCTTCTCAATTACTGTTTTAAAAAATACTTTATCTCGTCCAATACTCAATTCTATACCTAGGGTTCTACATCACCAGGAACCTAAAAACACAGTTCTGTGGCGATGAGACAAATCTTTAATTCTTTGGCCAGGATTTATCATGGGCTCTTTCCCTGAAAAATCAGCAGAAAAATAGAACCAAAGGTAGGCGAAGAAAACAGGATAGAAAGTTCCTGTTTCTATTCTTTCTGCCTTATTTGCCTTGTAAATTTGTATAGCCTTGTATGGAAGCAATCTTAAACAAAAACTCATAATAGAAGTTGGGTACTTGAACATCATAATTACTGGAATAGCTAGAATCCAAGAACTCTGGAGGCCTTTTGGAAAGGGAAATGAAAAATCAATTTCCGGCTGGCGCCTCAGCTCACTTGGCTGATCCTCCGCCTGCGGCGCCGGCACCCCGGGTTCTAGTCCTGGTTGGGGCGCTGGATTCTGTCCCAGTTGCTCCTCTTCCAGTCCAGCTCTCTGCTGCGGCCTGGGAAGGCAGTGGAGGATGGCCTAAGTGCTTGAACCCTGCACCCGCATGGGAGACCGGGAGGAAGCACCTGGCTCCTGGCTTCGGATCGGCACTGGCTGTAGCAGCCATTTGGGGAGTGAACCAATGGAAGGAAGACCTTTCTCTCTGTCTCTCTCTCACTGTCTAACTCTGCCTGTCAAAAAAAAAATTTTCCCAGAAAATTCTTACATATCAAGATTTCTCCTTTCTCTCTCTCTCTCTCTCTCTCTCTCTTTTTTTCCTTTTCATTTATTTGAAAGGCAGAGTTAGAGAGAGAGAGAGAAGGAGAGACAGGTCTTCCACTTGCTGGTCCACTCCCCAAATGGCTGCAACAACGGGGCTGGGCCATGCTGAAGCCAGGAGCCAGGAGCTTCTCCCACATGTGTGCAGGGACCCAGGCACCTGGGGCATCCTCTGCTGCTTTCTCAGGAACATTAGCAGGGAGCTGGTTGGGAAGTAGAGCAGCCGGGACTCAAACAGGCACCCATATGGGATGCCGGCACTGCAGGCCATGGCTTTAACCCCTCCTTTCTTCTTAATGGGAAGAATTCTGGCAGACAGGATGCTTCAAAGTGAGCCCTGTCTTTAGGTTCTGCCTCCTTCCTCTTTGATCAAGGTGAAGGACCTCAGCAATTCATGGGCACCCGCTGTACCCCTACCCATTTACCGACAAGTTTCCTTTTGAGTACAGAAGAGGAAACTTTTTTTTTTAGAGGTTAAACAATTGGCCTTGCTTCTCTTCCTTCCTCTTTCCCTGGCTCTCTTCCATCCTTCCATAAATATTTGTGGAACACCTACAAGGGAGCCTGGCGCTGCCCTATCTGGGAATGCAGGAAGGAACAAGATGCAGACTCCCAGGAGCCCACAGTCCAATGGGGGCACAAGTGAACAAACTTTCCACCCACTTGACAGCTGGACTACCCAGCACAGAGGTACCTGCAAGAGTGGTCGCACTCAGTATTGTCCACCACTACTTTTTCTTTCTATCTTAAAAAATGAAATGGAACCTTGAACACACATCTAAATCCACAACTCCTTCAAACATGACTGCCAAGAGTTTATAAAATTCTTCTGTGAGGTTGTTTAGCAAGACACTAAATGATGACTTTCACTGTATGCTTTTAAAGGATACCTAATTTTTATAGTCTTAATAACAATCATCTGGGTGGTTCCTTTTTCAAAATGCCTTTTAAAATGCCTTTTTGGAGACAACAAGTGCATCACCACTCCAGTGACTCTGGCCCCATGCCAGTGACTGGACTCCTGTCTATACCTAGTTGCTGCTCAGTTAAACTGACTTCTTCCCCTATGGACATCATAGGAAAATTGCAGGCTCTGGAATCGGTGGTTTGGACTAGACTCCCTCTTCTATTCCTTATCTGCAGGGTGACCCCCTAGTGCCTCTGTTAGCTTATTTGTCAACCAGGGATAAACTCCCCACCTTTTTTTAAAAAAAGATTTTTTATTTAATTGAGAGGTAGAGTTACAGACAGAGGGAGAGACAGAGAGGTCTTCTATCTGTTGGTTCACTCCTTAAATGGCCGCAACAGTCGGAGGTGGGTAGATCAGGAGCCAGGAGCCAGGAGCTTCTTGCAGGTCTCCCATGGGGGTGCAGGGCCCCGAGCATTTGGGCCATCTTCCACTGCTTTCCCTGGCCATAGCCAAGAGCTGGATTGGAAGAGGAGGAGATGGGACTCGAACCAGTGCCCGTATGGAATGCTGGCACTGCAGGCAGAGGCTTAGCCCACTATGCCACAAGGCTGGCCCCATAACCTCCCTTTTGAACTGTTATGAGATACTGAAAACAATGTTCAATAAATAGTATGTGATAATAAAAACTTGATTTATCATAATTATCCTTCAATGCAAAAATACATAAATTCCATAGAATTTTCTCTAAGAGGGGCGGGCATCTGGCCTGGTGGTTAAGATATTCACTAGCCATATCAGAGTGCCTGGGTTTAACTCCCCACTTTGACTCTTGATTCCAGCTTTGCACTGATGCAGACCCTGGGAGGCAGCAGGTGGCTCAAATGGTTAAACCCCCACCACCCACATGGCGACATGGATTGAGTTCCTGGCTCTTGACTCTGGCCCTAGCCCCACTATGGCCATTGTGGGCATTTGGGGAATAAGCCAGATGGGAGCTCTTTCTGTCTCTCTGCTTCTCAAATAATTTTTTTAATAAAAAAAACTTTCCTGGGGCAGGTGTTGTGGCACGGCAGGTTAAACCACCACTTGGGATATCTACATCCCATATTGGAGTGCTAGTTCAAGACCCAGCTACCCCTCACTTCTGATGCAGCTCCCTGATAATAAATCTGAGAGGCAGCAGATGATGGCCCAAGAACTTGGGTCCCTTCCATGTACATGGGAGACTTGGATGGAGTTCCTGGCTTGTGGCTTCAGCTTGGCCTAGTCCCAGACTGTTGCAAGCCTTTGAGGAATGGATGGAAGACCTCTCACTGTGTGTTTCTCTTCCTCTTTCTCTGTCACTCTACCTTTCATATAATAAACAGGTCTTTATATGTATGTGTGTGTGTTTGTGTGTATATATAAAATTAAAAAGATTCTCTGACTTTTAACATTCAGGCTATTAAGCAATTAGGAAAATGCAATAACTTTGTAAGTTTTGCTTTTCTTTAGAGACCCCAAACTCTATTTGCATAAAGAAGGTTAATATATCATTATTTTACTGTAGAGATAGTCTTGCTCTGTTTTTCTTCATTTTTACCTATTCCCTCTACTGCTCTTCAACTATATTCCTCATCTTAACAGGATCTTTCATCCAGCATAGAGGCCACAGGAGTAGACAGGGTTGAAAAACTGTTCAATATCCACTCAACATTAGGCCCTGGATTTAACTCTAAAAGGAGCCCACACCAAAGAATCCCTTCTCTTGCTTTCCCCCTTGGATCTCCTGGAATACATCAGAAATCACATTCTGAACATACATGTTGTTGTTTCCTTCTCCTTCCTACTTTCCAAATGTCGCATTTTTAGTGTTCTTTGTTTTCACTCAGAAGACAGGATTCGTGGGTATGTCCTGTTTCTCAGCAACCTCGCGGGAGGCGGGTTTAGGCTGGGCAGAGTAGGCACCTTCAGGACCTGTTAAACTCGCTCAAGAGGTAGAATGAGGATCAAAGGGGGAGCCACGGGAAGGTGGATGCTCAATAGAAGGAAGAATGTATTCTGACCTCGCAGCAGAGGAAGGAGTGGGTTACCCTAGGAGTTAGTGAGCCACCTATCACCGGAGGTGTTCAAGCTGAGATTCCCTGGTGACTTACTTCCATTTTGTTATATTAGTCCATACAATCATGATATAGTGTCACTAAGGTGCATAGAAAAGAACCCAGACAACTTACATCTGTTGATTTTGCTTAACAGCACTACTAATTCATAAACCAGATAAGAAATATAACCACTGTTACATTGTTATTAATCAAAGAAAAATGGTTTTCCTAATATGAGCAAGACATTATGCCAAGAGTTTCAGAGGATTCACAGAATGTTCACAGAGGCTCCCTACTCCAGAGTGGTCAAGAAAGGACAGAAATACATGAAGAGTTAAGTAATCATCCAGAGATTACATGCCCTTCAGTAGAGAGACATGTACAAGCTGATGGCCACATAAGACGGTTCAGCAGTAAATGCTGTGGCTTTGGAAAGGTGGGAGCTGTGAGCACCAGCACCCAGTCATGCATGGTGTCTCTCTCTTCCTGGGCTGACGTGACAGAATCCCCAAGTGGCTTAAACAACAGGCAATGAATATTGTCCCAGTGATGGAGGCTGAAGTCTAAGGTCAAGTGTTAGCAGGTCTCGGCCTACGGAAGGCCAGCTTTTCGCTGTGTCCTCTCATGGCCTTTCCTCTGTGTGCGTGGGTCTAGTGTCTCTCTCTAGGACACCAGATAAGAGGAGGGGCTACCCTAATAGCCTCATGTTAACTTAAAACCTCTTTTAAAGCCCTGTCTCTAAAGGCAGTCACACTGGACTGCCTAGGACTTGAACATATACATTAGGTGGGAACACAATTCAGCCCATAACAGACGGAGAAGGGTGAGAATAAACTAGATCATAAGAAATAGGTAAGGGACCGGAGAGGTTGAAGGGTAGAGAGAGAGAAAGGGTGGGCAGACATTTGACTCACCCAGACCAACTGGGGCCCACAGGGGATATCTTCTCGTCTCATCCTGAGCAAAGCTACAAGTCTGATGGCCTTTTTTCTTCTTTAGAAGACAGAAACAAATCATTCCTGGCAAGAGATACGCTCAGCAGACTTAACAGGGGGAGTGACTGTAAGTTGACATTTAAGTGACATTCTTCTTTGGTGCTGTAGGGCCAGGCAGCATCACAAGCTGTAAAAGCATTCCTGGAGTGAGGAGCAAGGACAAAGGCGCACCCTGCCTGTCACCTACACCCCGGGCTTGTGTTTTTATACCCGATGCCACCCTAACAGTGAATGATACCCTCATGTACTGCCGGAGAAGTGGCAGTTGGTCTCTGGATGTTAATGGTGTCTTTGAACTTCCTGCTCCCCCCTTTAGTCTGACTATACTTTCAGTTTGTTTTCTGTTTTCTGAAACAGATTGCATTTCATATTGCCCCTTCATTTTAGTAAATTTTGATTCAGTAGGACTTCTGTGGTCCAGAAATTCTTTTGGATGTTATGGGGGCAGTTTATTGGGGCCTGGTTTTTTATTAGTTTTCTTAAATTTTACTATAACCAAAAGAATAAAAAAGTCTTCTCCCCTTCCTTCACCTCCTTTTTTTTATATGAATGCAAATGAAATCTGTTAATGTAGGAAACTCTTACTTCATGTTCTGCCATTTGGGGGGTTATGCTGGAGTATAATACTTTACCTCTGCAGAAGTGTTTACTTTTTTCTCTTTATTTCTTCACAATTCAGGGATTGATACAACCATCAGTTCTATTCAGATTATGGAAATCCAGCAAATAATAGATCATCGGTACTGCAGTGAAAGCCTCCAGTGCGGGTGGGTAAGCCTGCCCATTATGTCCTGGTTATTTCTGGAATTTACCCAGGGTTCTGGGTTTTTGAAATGAATGAAAGCTAAAGCTACAAGGTGAAATCAATGTCTGCTTATTTGCTGCTGAAGTGAAAACACGTTTGTTACATGGTGGCTAAGGATATCATAAAACAGTTGGTATTAGCAAATGGGAATAAACCATGGCCCCAGTAGCTCCAATCTCTTGGTTTAATGGGTATTTCCAAAGCAGAAAGCCTAGGGGGCAGCTCTGTGAGTGACTCTCTGGGGACACAGTTCGATTAAGCATGGAGCTGCTGGTTAACTCTGTGGATATGAAAGACGTTATTGATGGCTCGAAGTTACGAGTGAGCTCATATTTCTACATCCTAGTAAGAGATGTCATTTTTAATTGCTAAAGAAAATAGTTTCTCTTGGTTTTTAAATCAGGAGGGAAAAAAATTCAGAGATAGCAAAAGCTGTCTGCCACATCCAGTGCATGTTCTATCATCTGTATGGAGGTCATGCAGCATTGTAAAGCAAGAGTGCAAGGTGCTCTGGCAAGCACTGTACACAAGGTGTAGTCATTCAGAAGGAGGAGTTATTTTTCTTGATTCTTCACATACTTACTGGATGTCTGCTAGGTTTAATACAAAGCTTGTGTTTGGAACTGCAGTGGTAGGTCTTGTGAAATTTCAACCTTCTTTTTCAACTGGATATAACAGGTTTTAAATGAATGGTCCAGAGTTACAAGAATAACCTGTATGGTGTTTTGTGATTTGTTTGTGACCTCTGTGTTCTTACCTTATTGAATTCTCATGGAATCCCTGTGAAGTTGGTCTTATTTCTCCCCAGTTTGTGGTTTAAGTTTCAGTAAACTTGAAAAAAGTTTGCTGAAGGTCACCCATGGGATAAGTGTCAGAAGTAGGTATTCATTCTGGAGGCAGGATGACACTGTGATGAAGAGTGATTCAGGTTCAGATTCCAGGGCTTCGGCAAGATGTTTATCCAGCCTGCATATCCACTCCTCATCTGTGAGATGAGGATACTGTCAGCTGAGCTGGATTGAAGCAAAGCTCCCTGACATTGGGAGAATCATGATAAAAAATGAATCCCATGGAACCCAGTGCTCCAGATCTCAGTGTAGATCTTTCTGATTTTTAAAAATATATTCATTCACCGAAATAACGCTATTCTCCACTTGATACACAAGAAGCACACTTTTTTTTTCAGCTTTATTTGGATATAAATGACAAAATTGTATAAATTCATAGTGTACAATGGGATGTTTTTGATAAACCTAAACATTGTAAAAGGCTACATCTTTCAATTTCTTTCAATTTTACTTTTACATAAACAAAAACTTTTTTGACTTTGTTTTAATTTTATTTGAAAGGTAGAGAGACAGAGAGATTGCCTATGCATTGGTTCACTCCCCAGAAGCCTACAACACACAGGGCTGGGCAGGATAGACCCAGGAGACTGAAACTAGTCTGGATCTCCCATGTGGGTGGCAGGGACCCAAATACTTGAGCCATCTCCTGCTGCGTCTGAGCGTGTCCATCAGTGGGAAGCTGAAATCAGAAGAAGATTCAAGACTTGAACACCGGCACTTCCATATGGCTCACAGCAACCCAAACAGTATCTTCACCGAGTCAAATGTCTGCCCCGTGCTTCCACATTTTTAACAACTTAGTTCAGTATTATTTAAAGAGAGTCTAAAATGACATTCTCATTTTCCATTTATTTTTAGTTGTTGCTCCATATAATTCCAAATAAGGGATTTCAGATGATAAGGGAAACTTGTATTGGATACAGTATGCCGTTCTGCTAGAGTTTTTCAGTATAATACAAGTCACAGGATCTTCCGTTTTCCCCAAATGTCTCTCTTAAAAAGGGAAAAAAAATTATGTCTAAGCAGTTCTGTTTTGTAATTTTCTCCATTACTAAATGGTAGCTAGGACTACAATAATTTTAGTAGATTCAGATTCTGAAAGTGCATGATATTTCCTGCGAATGTTGTTTGAAATGAGTGACTTATGGTGGAGAAACTGGTATTTATTATTTCCAGTCCCTCTTTCTAGGGAGATTGTTAGTTTGAGGCCTTTGCCTCATTTATCTTCTGAAATGTGCATCTCCTTAAGGAGGACTGAAACCCCTTGCTGCATGTTTAGTTTTGTGTATTTGGTCTGGGGTTTGACTTTCCATCATTTTTTCTACATATTCTGAAACACCATAAATCTTTGTAGCGTATTTTATATTAAGACCTGAAAGATCACTCTGAAATTTGACAAGTATATCTCTGAAAAACATAAAACGATACCAGATGAAATGATTTTCTACATTTATTATTTATCATATGATATTTTACAGTTTACATTGCATGTAAAGAGTGGCAAAAAGCCTTTTGAAAGCTTTCCTGCTTATTTTCATTTGTGGTTTATCTTTTTTTCTGTAATTAGGCCTGGAAACTATAATTACAATATTCCTGTTAATAAGAAGACACCCACTAACGTCAAATTCTCTCTAGAAATCAAGTAAGTGCATGGCTATAACAAGAACTCTACTTCTAGCATTAGTTGTTTTAAGTTAGAAAATGTAAATTTTTTCTCAGACGATTCTAGAAGTAGAAGTTCTACTCTGTACTCAGAGGAGATGTGATGTTGACTTTGACCAATCCTGCCTTTCCTAACTGCCATTTCCTGTCGTGACGCTGGGGCCATGTGTGTTATTAATACAACAGCAAGTCTGAATGTATTTCACACATTGATCAGCAAGTTAGAAGACAGGAAGCTCCAGATGCTTTATTACTTAATAAATTTTCTGATTTAATAAATGCATCAGGCCACGTTAACTAAGATAGGTTGAGATGTGCACCAGTTGAGGGGAGGTTTCCAAGGTGAGGCCTGGGGTCATCCAGATGCTCCCTGGGGAGTGGCAGAGTTCTCAGCTTTACACTTGCACCTGCTGAGTGGGATGGCACCCAGATGAGGGGCTGCACAGCTCCGGGGATTCCTGGTAGCAGTGATAAGCAGACCCCACAACATTTCCCCAGGGAAGAGAGAGAAAACTAGGAATCAGTATTTGGTGCTGGGCTGGCCCAAGTTCACATTTTGTTTCTGTAGCTTCCTGATTCTGTGACCTTGGAGAAACCATTTGTCTCTGAGCCACTGTTTCTGCAGCTGTAAAGTGAGGGCTACAAGGTGCCCCAGCAGGAGACTTGCTGTGGGATGACTGTTAACACTGGTAAAATTAGTGACTAGCATTGCTGAGCCTGGGCTGTCCAGCAGATACTCACCCTTTCCCACTGGGTCCTAGTAATCCTCGCCACAACCCATCTGTGTGTGTGTGTGTGCGTGCGTGCGTGCGCGCGCGTGTGCACACACACACACATGTTTTTGTCTGTGCTTTTCAGATGGGAACGCGTGGGTTCAGAGAGGTCCAAGACTGGGTTCTGACACTCACAGCTGACCCGTAGTGGAGCCCATCTTTCTAACCATGAGATTTGTGAGGACATTGCCCCTGCCTGCACAGAAGAGACCCTCAGTAACTGGCAGTGTTTAGGAGGACCACCTTTCCTCCAAAATCACTAGCCCATTTCACCTCTTGTCATCAGATGTGTCAAATTATTACGGCACTGTCAGACTTCCCACCCACATCACTAAACATTACGCAATGAGGTGGTTGCCTAGAAGACAGAGGATTTTATCTCACGTCTCTTGATTTTAGTTTCTCCTCCTCTCCCTCTCCACACTTCTTCTCTTCTCCCCTTTCTTTTCTCTCTCTCTTCCCCTTGCCTCCTATCTCCCCTGTTCCCCCAGCTGTACCACGCCCCTGCCATCGTTCCTGACCCTGGTTTCCCTCCCTGTCTACTTTAGGCTTTGTATTCCGCCCCTCATCAGCTTTGCTCCTGCCACGCCTTGGAAAGGCTTGTTTCAAGAGCTAATGTTTCGTGACTTGGAAGCCACCATGTTTCAGGCAGAAGAAAGCACAGTGGATGCTTCTCTTGCACTCCTTGAGGAAGCCGGCACAGTGTTTCCTTATTTATTCCTAGCTGTCCCCAGAGGGGAGTGACCTTATACACAGTGTTCCTTGAAGAAGCAAAAGATCCTCTTGAACCAATAAGTCAGGCTTTTTGCTTTACAAACTGTGTTTGTAATATGAGTTATCTTAAAATAACATATACCATACACCCTCCAACACAGGGTTCCACTTTCCACAATTTTGGCACCCACGATCAACTGCCAGCTAAAAATATTAAGTGGAAAATCCCAGACATAAACAGTTCATATGTTTTAAATAATTTTAATATCATATTATTATAATTGTTCTATATTATTATTAGTTGCTATTGTTAATCTCTTTGGTGCCTAATTTATAAAATTAAACTTTATCATAGGTGTGTATGTATGGGTACACGGCTTACATAGGGTTCAGTGCTATCCACAGTTTTGAACATCTACTGCTGCTCTTGGACAAGAGAGGGGGACTGCTGTATACTCAACTGAGATTGTAGGTCACCTCCACTGTGCAACGGATTGTTTCCAAAGATAGACAGTTCTAGTCCTCTTGATGATGATGAGTGAGTCAACTTCCAGAGAAGAACCGTCGCTTCTTGCAGGCCTTCCATTCTGATAGCTTTAAAAGCTCGCGGTTTATAGCAGGGCTCACCTCCAAGCCCATATCTGTATTTGTTTGCCTTGTTGTTTCAAACAGTGCCTATCCAGACCAGGGTAGTTGTAGAATCTACAATCCTGGAAGTGTTAGTCAGCTGCCAGTGTGTGTGTGTGTGTGTGTGTGTGTAAATTATTTTTAAAGTCTATGGAAATAGGAAGTTCTGATGTGAGGTAGTTTTAAGTCATGATGCTGGGTTTTAGGAGCAATCATATGGTCATTCAGTAGTCATTTGAAATTGAGTTTCTTTCTGTAACCAGAGGTGAGCCGGCCAATGGCATCACTCAGTTTAGGTGAGAAAATGCCTCTTGTGAGCATTGTAGGGCTTTCCAAGCTGCACTCCCATTAGTCCCTCTTCCCATCGAAATGCAGCCTAGTAGGAGCTGGTAACTCCTTTCCATCTGCCCTTTCTTTCCTTTGCCTCCCGAAGCACAACAGAGCCGCTGATAGTCTTCCAGTGCAAATTCGTCCTTGGGAATATATGTTTCCGTAGTAAAATGGAAGCCAAAGCGATCCAAAGCCTCGAAGTTTCCCAGGAGATCACACAGGTAACGTCTTCTGTTCCGGTAGAAGCATGTCTAGAATTGCGGCCTAGGTCCCCTATGAAGGGAGTGACGCATTGAACTGAATGCTAGTGTTTCTCTTTGCTGGCTGGCCCCGGTCACAGGGCTGGGCTCAGCATTTTCCTTGTGTCCTTGAGAAACTGTAGAACATTCTAGCAACATCCATCAAAAGCTCTGATCACAGAATCCTTTCCTATAGTCGCCCAGGAAATGCTTTCCCAGCCTGCGCTCTGTCCGAGTGCATGTAGAATGTGGTTATGAAACGGACCTCTCTTTTATTCACTATTTAGGGATATCAGCACATTTGGACCCTCCCTGTAGCTCCTTTCTTTGACAGCAAATACCATTTCCGTGTAGCTGCACCAGTAAGTGTGCTCTTTTTTCTTTACTTTTTACATTTTTGTTTATTCATTTCATTTGAATGGCAGGCAGGTAAGGAGGGAGGGAGAGAGAGGCAGAGGAGGGAGGGAGAGAGAGAGAATCTGTGTGTTTGTTCACTCCCCAGATACCTACGATAGCAGGGACTGGGCCAAGCTGCAGCGAGGAGCCAGGAACTCATCCTGGTCTCCACGTGGGTGGCAGGGACTCAGGCAGCTCACTGCCGCTTCCCAGGGGGTGCTTTAGTAAGAAGCTAGATCAGAAGCAGAGCAGCCAGGACTCAACCAGGCTCTCTGATATAGGATACAGGCATCCCAAGCTTCAACTCAAACCACTGTGCCAAAGGCCCTTTTTCTTTTTAGTGAGTAAGAAATGGACCACTAAGTGAATGAACAAATAAATACATGTATATATATGCCAATAAGGCATTTTAGCTATACTTAATTTTTATATTGACCTTTTTCACTTTTCTCCTGTCTTGACAGGACTTAGCTGACTGCTCCACAGATCCGTATTTTGCTGGGATATTCTTCACAGATTACTTCTTTCACTTCTATCGACATTGTACTTAATTTATTCAAGTTTAAGGACTTTATCAAAGAAAAAGACTCAGAACGTGGTTAACAGGAACTTATATCCTCTTGCAACTTTTTCTAGCTGGAAGAACTTTAGCAAGCCTTGGCTTCCAACCGTTTTGAGACATTAATGAGGAGAATAAAGTGTTTGCTGGAACTTGGGGTCATGTGGTGTTTGATTTTGTCGTGACTATGAAGAAAACATGTCCTGGAATAAGCAGTATCGTAGGATTTGAGAATACTGCTCCTGGTATTAAGGAAGCTGTAAGATCACAATAAGCTCTGCACTGTCTTAATATAGTTCATAGTTTTAGAGCGAAAAAGGCCATGTCCATTTGGACTCAGTCAGTGTAGGCTCTTAAAAATGTGTCATTTGGTGTATGGGGGCTGGGATGAGTAGGGTCTGATGTTGGGCTCACATTTAGACAAACGCTGTGTATGTGTGTTTTGTAGAATGTAGCCTGCTAATCAAGCCGATTGAAGAGTAATTGTTGCAAGTGCTTTGTCTGTCTGATGGACCCTAAACCTTCTGTGCAGGAAGGCTCTTCCCTTTTGAGAAGATGGAAGCCCCTGTGCACCAGAGCCCATTGAAATCATTCAGACTAACTAATACCAAATCTGCTTATGGCAGTCCCTCAATCAGTAGAAAATGGACTTAAAAGATAAGTTTATTTTGGTGCAAAATGTTGAAATTCATGCATAGCTGTTTCATAGTACACATTCTCTGTGGCCTTTTAAAACAGATTTATTTATTTGAAAGGCAGAGTTACAGACAAGGAGAGAGAGAGAATCAGAGGTTAACAGACAGAGATATCTTCCATGCATGGTTTCACTCCTGAAATGGCCTCAATGACCAGGGCTGGGCCAGGCTGAAGCCAGCAACCTGGAACTCCATTGGGTGTCCCACATGGGTAGCAGGGGCCCATGCACTTGGTGCATCTTCCATTGCTTTCTCTGGCACTTTGGCAGGGCGCTGGATCACAAGTGAGGCAGCAAGGACTCGAACTGGTGCTCATACAGAATGCCAGTATCACAGTTGGCACCTTAACCTACGGCACCACACCCCTGGGCTCTCTCTGTGGACTTGTTGAAGCTCCCTTGTACACTCTCTCATTCATTGCTTCTCTTGGATGCCACAGTAAGGTCTCTTGTCTACAGTTCTTCCCTCTCCCTCTGCCTCCTGATTGATGGTGGCAGTGTTCCTCAGGCGGCTGCAGCGGGGCGGGGCGGGCTGACATGCTAGGTGTCTTGGGAACCGTAACAAACTATCTTTTCAACGCAAGCCTCCCCTGACTTGTTGGCCTTGCCACCCCTCAAGTTTGCTATTATTGCTCTGTATTTTAAGACATGGAGAGCCAAGCCACTCTCCCTGTAGTTTCAGGTGCAGGTGCTGAATGTGCGACCTTCCCTTACGGTTCAGCTGTGGCTCTGTCGGGATGGAGCTGTTTGATCTTTCAGCTTCACAGTGGTAATCAGCAGTACTGATACATCTTCCTCATTTTTAGGTCTTATTAATGACGTGTCATATAAATAAATAGAAATTAATTATGAGACTTCAAAAGTAAATGAAAGAAAAGACACAGTTCTTACTCTCTCAAAAAGCATTTTAAAATTTCTTCTTGTTGCAAGGGTAGTTTAGCCCAGTGATTAGGAGCTAAGATCCTGGAGCCAGACAGTTCTGACCTTAAGTTCAAGTCCTGACTTAATTTATGTATCCTTAGACGGGCTATTTAACTTCCCTAAAAACTAAAAAACTTCCTTTTTTATAGAAGATAATATCTACAATAGAGAGGATTATATGATATAAAGTATATAAGGCACAGATAAATTCTAAATAAATGTGAGCTGTTATTGTTATATCTGCATAGTATAGAATCAGTGAGATTTCAGTGAGATTATGAAGGGATAGAGTATGTCAGCACACATACTTTGAGGCTTTTTTTTTATTACAAAACTGTACATAGGACATAACATGTGTTATCACATAATGTTTAATGTTTTCTATATTCAGAAAACTGTTTTCTCTTTTCCTAACATCCATAGCCTTTGCTGAAAATGGAATAAGGCAGTGAATTCTTGGGAGGAGTATTTCAGGATTCCCCCAGTTTCTTAGATCCCAACTCAAATTTGGTTCTTCTGAGGATCAGCTGTCAGAGAGTAGCTGAGGTCTAGATTCCACAGCCGTCACTCCTTTGTAGATGGGATCCCAGATAGCTGATGTGGGAGACTTCGTGAAGTAAGTGAAGGTTTATCAGCAGCGGAGCTCTAAGAGTCCTGTCCAGCACATTTGAGGAGGGTCTTCAAAGTTCATGGAAAATGTGTACTATGAAAAAACTCAGTGGATTTCAAAAAGCTTTTGCATGAAAATAAACATCTTTTAATTCCATCTTCCCACAAAGTACCCTCATAAAACTCATGTTCTTCTTATTCATATACTTCTGTTCCGGACAATGTGAGAGTCGCAAGCATCCAATGTAGTTCAGCAATGTTGTTTAATAGGATTTCTGCAAAATGAATACTGTTTTCCCACTAAATCTCATCACAAGACTAGACATTTTTCCCACAGAAGACCAGTGGAGGTTGTGCCAAAAGCCTTTAGAAAGAAAGCATTTAAGGTAGTGAATGTATCGGGGGCAGCTTGTGGATGCTGGGATTAGTTAAGCCTATTGGGAGAGTAGATTTTTCTGGAAGATCTACTTTGTGTTTTCAGCTCTTTCCCAGCTGTGTGATGTCCACTGTGGACCACATGGCTTCAGGCCAAAATGCTTTTCCTTGTGCCAGAGAACGATTTGACTCTCCACTGGAATATCCTCAAACTCAAGTAATTAAAATATCTAGAAGAATCTTCCAAAACTCATAACCCTTGTCTAATCATGAGAAAAACATCAGACAAATCCCAACTGAGAGACATCACACAAAATACTTGCCTTCTACTCCTCTAAGCTGTGAAGAAACCAAAGTCTGAGAAACCGTCATAGTCAAGAAAAGTTAAAAGAGACACAAGGACACACGTACACATCACCTGGTGTCCTGGATGAAACCCTGGAACTGAAAAAGGACATTAGGTAAGAACTCAGGGCATTTTAATTTAATTTTTTCAGATTTATTTATTTTAAAGTCATAATAACAGCAAAAGACAGACACACACACACACACACACACTCACACAGAGAGAGAGAGAAGGAAATATCTTCCATCCACTGGTTCACTCCCCAAATACCTGCATCAGCTGGGGTTGGGCCAGGCCAAAGCCCAGAGCAGGGAATACCATCTGGATCTCCCACATGAAGAGAAGGGGCCCAAGCACTTGAGCCATCATCTGCTGCCTCCCCGGATGCATTAGCAGGAAGCTGGATTGGAAGTGAAGTAACTGGGACACGAACCGACACTACAATATGGTAAGCTGGTGTTCCAAGTGGTAGCTGAACCTGCTACACCAGGATCCCCACCCCTATGGAAATTTTAATGAAGTATATGTTTTAGTCAATAGTAATGTATCAATATTAGTTCATCAATTCCGTCAAATGTAGTATATTAATATAAGATGTTATTAATAGGTACAACTGAGTGTAAGGTTTATAGGAACTGTGTACTAACTTTGCAGTTTTTCTATAAATAAAAAACTGCTCTAAGATTAAAAAGTTTATTTTTTAATTCAGAAATAAAGTCCACCAAAAGCTGGGCTAAAGTATCACATGCTGCCACTAGGTACCACTGTGATAACATAGGGTAAGTTCAAGAAAGAAAAATAGGAGGTCATTTGCAGTATTTTTTTAAAAAATTTTCTTTGTTATTTGAAGGGCACAGTGACAGAAGAAAGGGGGAGGGAGGGATCTTCCATCCACTGGCTCACTCCTCAAATGGTAGCAATGGCAGGGGCTGGGCCAAGCAGAAGTCAGGAGCCTGGGACTCCATCCATCTTCCACTGCCTTCTCATGTGCATTTGTGAGCTGAATCAGAAGCAGAGCAGCTGGGACTCGAACCAGTGCTCCAGCATGGGATGCCGGAGTCCTAAGCATCCGCTTAACCTGCTGCACCACAGCACTGGCCCCCATTCGAAGTCTCCTAGTTCCCTGCTTTGCCAATTAGACAGAGTCCGATTCTGTAAAGTTGATTAGCTGTGAATATAGAATACTATAAAATAAAGCTGTTAGATGTTTTTAAACAAATGAGCCATAAAAATTCACTTATGACAACAGCTGACATGCATGTATTCAATCATCTTACATTTTTTAAACAAAAACACTTTGAAGTGCTCTTAAGCTACTATTTTTACATTTCTAATTTAATATTTTAACACAATTTAAAAAATTTGTTTGAACAGCAGAGAAAGACATAGGGAGAGATCTCCTATCCCATGCTTTACTCCCCAAATTCCTACAACAGCTGAGGCTTTAGCAGGGAGCCAGAAACTCCTTCCAGGTCTCCAATTCGGGTGGAAGGGACCCAACTGAGTCATCACCTGTGCGCATTAGCAGGAAGCTGGAATTGGGAGCAGAGCCAGGACTTGAACCCAGGCACTCTGCTTTAGGATGTGGGTATCCCAACTGGTGTCTTAATCACAGGTCCAAACACCTGCCCCAATACATAATAGTTTGTTTGAACTTTAGTGACAGATTCTCACCAACACACTGAGTCATGAAGCTAAAGATCTTTGGAAGAAAAGTGAAAAACATTTCTGCTGGCAGTTTACAAACCATTTTTTTTTTCAAATAAAAATTACAAAAGGCCATTGTTTTGGAGCAGGCTGCTGCACTGGGCCCCTGTAGACCAGATGGAGTCACCCATGCTATTGCTCCACATCACCAAATCAAAACTAAGTTGTTCTCTGACCTCCTGAGAAATTGGGAGAGGAGCTGGCATTGTGGTTCAGTGGGTTAAGCTGCCTCTTGCAATGCTCATAGTCCGTATCGGAGTGCCAGTTTGAGTCCTGGCTGCTCCACTTCAGATCCAGGTCCCTGCTAATGCACCTGGGAAGGCAGCAGGTGCTGGCTCCAATTCTTGGGCCCCTGCCACCCACATAGGAAACTGGGATAGAGTTCCAGGTTCCTGGCTTCAACCAGGCCTGGCCCTCGCCATTGTGGCCATATGGGGAGTGGAGCAGCAGATGGAAGATCTCTTTGTCTCTGTCTCCTACTCCCTCTCTGATGCTCTGCCTTTCAGATAAATAAATCTTTAAAAAAAAAAAGAGAGAGAGAGAAAGAAATGGTGGGGGTCAGGAGTGGAGGAGAGGCACGGAAAAAACCCAAATCTTCCTGACAGGTTGATTTCAATTGGCATAGTGATGAAATTCCCTCTGCCTGGCTCATCACAAAAAAGGTAGTCACCCGGTATTAGGCAGTAAGCTATTTTCCCGCTAGGAAAGTAACTTTGGAATGACCACTGTCTGGTTTGGTTTGTTTCTGCTTTCTTCTTTACTACTCTCCCCAGAAAACCAACCTCATCTGCTCAACTCATTGGAACACTGCTTCATGGACTGAGGGTTGCCTGATTCTAGAACTGGAAATAGAGCCGATTAAGGTAAACTGCACAGCTGTACGTTTGACCTCTGGTGACTTTCACAGACCTACCCTCGTGGGATTCCTACCACAAACGATTCTCTGATGTTGGACGTTATTCCACAGGATGAAGACACAGAGACACAGAGAAGTTAGACATGGACAAGAGGTGAGCCAGGTTTTCTGGTGCTAACTTTTTCTTTTTTTTTTTTTTAAGATTTTATTTATTTATTTGAGAGGTAGAGTTACAGACAGTGAGAGGGAGAGACAGAGAGAAAGGTCTTCCTTCCGTTGGTTCACT